ATTCCGACTAGCTTATTAATATTCATGAGGCACGATAATTAGACGATCGCTTTCCCAGACGCGTTTGTAATACATGGTTTTCCCAGACGCGTTTCTGTCGTTAGGGATAATTTGTAGATCGCGCCTAACAACTCCCTGGTTTAAGCAAGCAGAAGTAAACAAAGAATGGGTTGATGGGATTGGTGTTTTTGAATGACCTTACAAAATTACTTCCGGAATAGTTTCGTTACACGGATTCGACATGAGCTAAAATTTGCTCGAACGGTGGACCACCCGCTGTGTGCTCGGCGCGATTAACCGGTGAATTCACAGGTATACGGTTTGCGTTTTTCGCTCGAACGGACCCAAAGTTTATATACCTAAGGTAACCTTGGAATTACTGCAGACTCAGACTTTTACCGTGTTGTACACTACATAGCAGTTTAAGGTGCAGAGACTAGACAACTCAGTCTTCCTCTCAGGCACTGGAGTGGCAGCAGCATCTATATGTGCAGAAATAAATAGGTTAAAATAGTTTGTGGTAACTGTAGTATATAAAATAATATGTACCTGGTATATACTTTGTATTTTAGTAATGAAATATTGAATCTCCTGATTGGGATATGCTTCTCAATATATTTTCATGGTTATGTATAATACTTAAAATAATGTAAACTAAAAATTTTTTTTAAATAAATAAATATTTTCATGGTTATGTATAATAGCTAAAATAATATAAGCCATGTTTTGAAATATTTTCATGGTTTTGTATAATATTTAAAATAATATAAACCAAAAAATTAAAAAAAAAAAATTTTCATGGTTAAATGTATAATAGTTAAAATAATGTAAATCATGGTTTGATGTTTTTATCGATATTTATTTTTTATTTACGGTATTATTTATTCATTTATTTATTTGTTTATTTATATTTTTCCTATATATTTATGGATATTTTTGTTTGTGTTTTTGTACTTGTTTTCTCTCTGCTTGTTCAGTTTTTACGTATTTGTTTTTGTCATTTAGTACCTGTTACATTTATCCAATTAATGCAACATTTTTTCTGATGTTTTATATCTCAATAGAGGGCCACTGCATAGGCCTCATTTATTTTTTGTTGAATATTAGATAGGAGTGAATGTTTGTCATTACATCTTTCATAAATATTTTAGATGAGTAATGTAAATTTTATTGAATATCAAATCATTAATGTATAATATATTATATTCAGACATTTATTAATATATTGCAGAATGTATCTCAAAGCAAGCTATCAAATCGCTGCAGGATGCTGAAAAACTGAAGGGATGTACATTTATCAAAGGCTCACTCAAAATTGAAATAAAAAATACAGGTAATTTATGTCATAAATACATCAATATATTTATATTACAGCATTTTTTATTTACATCAATATATTTATATTAAACATTCTTGATTCTGATCCACACATTGTACTTATTTAATTCGTTTGCTATCAGTTGACATTTCATTTATTCAGCTTTAGGCACAAGGGCCAAGGATATGCAAACAGTGAACTAAATCACACTTCAAAGTGGGAATCCCATCACAAGACAACAGTGGCCGTATGGGCCAGTACACTGGGATAACCACTTACTCATCTCGAAAGATGTACTGGGTTCCTTTAAAGTGCACATGAACATTTGTGTACGCTGGGCCTACGGTTTATAGTCCTTATTCGAGAAGACTTGTTCCACCACCGGAACTAGGAGCGAGGCGGCCGCAATATTTTTGGCTGTGGTTACAGTGCCCCTACATTAACTGCTCTGCCATTCGACTCGCTCTCCACCATTTCCACCTGCAAATTGCAAATTGAAATGAAAGATATAACAGATATTGTTTACAATTAATTTTTGAATAGCTAAGCCCTATAAACTGAGATAGAGGGGGTCATATTAAACATTTAATTTCATTGAATATTGACAGAAAAACAAAATGTAGAAAATATATATTGAAGATATAATTATATTATAATGAAAATCTCTTTAAATACAATTTAAGTACTGGTCTCCCAAGCAGTCCAGATTTGGTACAGTGAATGTAATATTAACTTAAAACCCCGCTTAAAACATTAGAAAATGAAGGAAATAAAATAAGAGGTAAAAACAATTGATTTACAATGAATGCATAAAGATAAGAAATTATAAAAAGTTTTGAAAATTAATTTGATCAATAGATTGGTAATATTTGAGAACATTTACTGGGAGGTTATTTCACAGCATTGATGCTCGGTATCTTAAAGTTCTCTTTCCTTGAATATTGTTCCATGTTGGAATTATTAAAGTATTTAATGATTGAATTGTAATATTATTTTTTTGGGTGGAATGTGTCCATGAATCCCTGATATTGGGACTAAACAGTTTTTCAGATACATCCTTATACTTTATATAATCAGTCCTTCTGCCTTCCTCCTTCTCCCCCTTCCAATAAAAAAAAGAACTCATTCTGACTTTCATGTTATAAACCAAGATGAAAATAGCCAAATCGATTTGTGAAATAGCCCATTTGTAGCAACAACAAAACAATTATCCTAAGGCAAAATCCTGCAGGTGTAATGGATATAAAGTAAGGTGGCTCATCCAAATTCAATTATTTTAATCAATTTCGCAGCAGAAATCTAAATGTTACATCTACAAAATCTTTTAGGTTGTACATTTTTCATTTATTTGTTGACTGATGATAAAATGATAGTAATAAATCCAGAGGGCGCTATAGCATTTTCAACATCAACAAAGTTGTTACATAAACAAATTGTCGTCAGATCCAAATGTTGATTAGAATATAAATTATATATTAAAAAATATATAAAAAATATTTAAAATAGTGTAGTTTGTCCCAAAAAGCATAATTTAACTTTATTGTCAGTAATTCTTTATTTAAAAAATATGCTACCTAACCTATAAAAATTTATAAATATATTTAATACATATGTAAATTTAAACAATATACCAAAAAAATATATACCAATAAATGTAATGTAGTTAGATTTATAATTGCTTTATACCAAAGTCTCAAAGTATTCAAGGTGTGGACTAGCTTGTAACTTCTTTCTCTAATTGGATATAGCATTATATAACAACAATCCCGTAATAACTACTGTATGATTTAAACAAAAATGAGAAAACTTGTTGGTCAGTATTTCACAATTCAACATTTCCAATTTTGTCCTAGTTGTAGTGTAAAATCCATAATTTCTCTAACCATATTTGAGCATTGAATCTCTGTGAACCCACGACCCTACCTCATCCTGTCTCATGTTAATGATATTAATGTTAATCTTTTACTGAGAGCCAATAACAACATTTATAGCTATCCATTAGGCAAGTTTAACATTCCATTACTTTGCTTGCTAAGCAACATATATAACCTCAGAGGAGGAAAGGTATTTGCTTTTGTGTACCAATATTCTGATATACTAAAATATTATTTCAGATTTAACATTCTATTATAAATTTCACATTTGTTTTCTGTAGATTTATTATATAATATTTTCAATTCTAAACTGTTTATTCGAAAAATAATTTGGTAATATTAAAAAAAAAAACCTCCAAAGTGCAACTGAAGTAAAAAGTTTTAAGTTGCTTATTTAAAAGGTTGAAATATTTAACTTCCAATGAGACAGATTGAAAATATTTGGTTTTGCTGATTTTAATTCCATATGGAATTTGTTTTTAATTTCTGGCCTAAGCAAATGCAAATAATATTGAAAAGAGTTAAAAGGAGATATATATAATTGGTATTATTATTATGTTTCCAAAATAAAGTTTCATTTTTACCATTGGATTGCAAATCATACATTTAATTTTAAATTCTAAAATGTTTATTTAATGTAAATTATGCCCTTGAAATTCATTTATATGTAGTGATATGTATAATGAATTTGAATTTATGACATAAATCATTGCATAGTGATAGAGGCAACAACAAAAACAGGAGTTAAATAGCCATGCAGGAAAATAGCAATAATTTCACTGTACTATAGAAGTACATGTGACACAGACAATATTCTTATAATTATTATAATAAATGCATCAAAATACACGAATTACCAATCCAATATCAACATCCAAATAAAGATAGGGTAGTATCAACCTATGGCCATATTTTGAATCTGATACTAATGTTTTTTTTTTAAGAGTGCTACTATTCCAAATTACAAAAGACAAAAAAAAATATGGGACTATCATTTTTTTTTTTTTTTTTTTTTTTTTTTTCATTTTGTTT